ACTCAATACAAACAAGATCTAACTAATAGAATTTCAGTTGATGGTTCACCTTTTGGTCCTTGACATCCGTCGACAGTGCCAACCCTTAACAGAAAAAAATGGAAGGGACCAAATTGGGCTTGCAAATAATTTAAATACTTTATTTTGAAAAAAAAATCATGTTGTCTTTCATAAGTAGGTAAATAGTCCTCGAACTTTCAAAAGTTGCAAAATAACCCTTGTGGTCAAATAATCATTGCAAAATCAGTCCCTCTATTAGAGAATTTGTGAAATAAGCACAACACATGTGTATTATGCAAAGATGCGAATCATGTAACAATAAAAAAAAGTTAATATGAAGTTTTATTTGTGATGTGTAAGTTTGAACTGTAGTAAAATATCTTCCATTTTTTGGTTTAAGTCTCACGACTTATTCATATCTTCAAGTCTTCAAGAGTGATATTCTCGAACGTAGAACAATGTCCTACATGAGCTCGACATTATTTTGCTTTTCAAGTTGCTTTATTCTAGGGTAATATCGTGTGATATAGGAGCTGAAAAGGGCCATTCCTTGCCTTTAACCACAATGATGAGGACAGTTTTATCAGATTAACTTCTTTTTTTCGTTACATGCTTCACATTTTCACACAACACGCATGTCTTCTACGAGCTTCACATTTTCCTGAAAGAAAGACTAGTTATGCACAAATTCTTTGACCACGTGGACTATTTTGCAACTTTTAAAAGTACAAGGACTATTTATAGATATAACTCAAAATATAATTTACCCAAAAATCTAGTTAAATTATTGTTAATGTTCCCCCTTTGCTCGATTTGTATCGTCAAGCATCCTGTTATTATCTGAAGCATTTTCCTACATAGTTCATTGTTCATAACATATCACATACTGAGAGTGTCTGTCTGTCATGCTTTGCCACAGACCCAGGGTTCCTCTGTTGAGACATTTTTCATTATTGGGAGAGTTTCCTCTGAGGCAGTTCTGGAATCAAAGTTGGAGAAAAATTCACTATTGTCTCGGATCAACTTCCGGTTCTGGAAGTTTCTGCTTGAAGCCCGCCTATGTGGAATGCAATTAGCTGTCTGGCTTCTGCAGCTTCGGAGGTTATTGACATTAGGATATCACTAACCCCACCTTGAGACGTAGTTATTCTTTATTCCCAAGTACCTATTCCTTGAGAGGAGTCTTTCTTTCTATGGAGAGGACTCGTTTGACGTTTGTACATAATTGATGGGACCCGTGTTTGAATTGTTTCGAGTGTAGGTCCCATCACTTAAGTGCAAAGAATAATGCTAATGTAAAGCCCCACGTATGACACCATTAGAGATAATCTCGCACAAACAATGATTGTTTGTGAGAAATCAGTCTTCGAGACGCTATCAGTGTCATCCCTGGTGTGGTCATTAAGATCATAATTAACGATTGCTCCATATTTTGAAGTGATTTTGGAGTGCGACAATTCTTCATTGATTAGATGCGTCAAAGGCGCGTCTATATGGCTATTTGAATGCATTTGTGAGCTCATTGAAGAAGGGTAGGGATTGTATTTCTTTAATAGAATGGAGGCATGCATGACAAGGAGAAGGGTTTTCCTTGTTAGTACAACAATAAAATTCAAGCCAAACATGAACAGCCTTATGGGCATGCAGCTGAGTTTTCTCTCTTTTTTACTTCTTTTTGTAATATGTTCCTGAAATGCTTTGTTTTGCTTGATGAGTTGATGCTTTGATGTCTTCCAATGTTGAAATATTTGGCTTTATATTTGTCTTGTTTGGTTAGACGAACAAAATATTCTGCTCTATGGTGTCATGCTTCGTACGTGTTCGAGCCCAAGGTCTCTTCGGAAACAACCTCTTTACTTCGAGTAGAGGTAAGGTCTGCGTACATACATCCCCTCCAAACCTTACTTTTCTGAAATTCAACTGGGTTGTTGTCGGTCAGAGTTATAGCCCCAACATTTTAACATATTTCAAGAGTTTGGATGTAATATTTATATATTTTGTTTTCGTTTTTATTTTTATTATAAATAAAATTATTTAAAAGACGTTCAATTTTATATGTAATTCGGAGAGGGCAAAATTGACAAGAATGCTCCCAGAAATTACAGATTTTACATAAATACTCCCAAATTTATTTATTTACACGATTACTCCCACATTTTCCTTCTATTTACATCATTACTTCCAAATTTGATAGTGATCATTAGTATTACTTGGATGTGTCTTTTTTTGCGCTAAGTGAACAGTTTTTTGAATGTCTTTTTTTACTCTAATATACCAAATTCACCTCAACTTATTCTCTTCATCGCCTTTCTCATGTCTTAGTAAGCTGTAAGCGTAATCATTGCCTTTATTTCTCATCACTTTTTTTAAAAAAATCATATTTCAAACTTCCTAAATCTTTTTAATGTTTAATATCAAGTCTGTTTATATTAATTTAATTTGAATTCAATAAAAAAGATGAAGAACCCTGTTTAAAAAGACACCCGAGGAACCTTGATGATGAAGCAATCACGGAGTAACGGCGTAAATAATAGACAAATGTGGGAGTAACTATGTAAATAAACAAATTTAGAAGTATTTATGTAAAACCTGTGATTTCTGGGAGTATCTTATGTAAAACCTGTGATTTCGGAGTGAACAATTCATTAGGGGACAGATATATCTACGACTTTGATATTTTGGGACAAATTGAATGGGGTGATGTCTCTAGGACGTGAAAGTAGTTGTTTGAGTGGATAAAACTTCTCCTCCATAAAGAAGGCACCAACTTTTAGCAGTCTTATTAATGCTGGGTTGAACTGATTGTGATGCTTTCTCACAAATTGGTTGGAGAGTTGATTTTTTTTGCTAAGGTTTATTCTATGTGGAACTATTAGCACTAATTAGCTAGACAAGTTTTAATGTTTGATTATAATGGATTTTTTTATTATCTTGGATCTGAGGTCTATAGGATTTATATAGATTTTTTTATTCTATTACAAATTTGTATTTTTTTTTTGTTAATAAGAATTACGGAATAAAAAAGATTTATGTCAGTTAGAACATGAAAAAATTACGGAGCATCATTTTTTGTTGTGAACATGAAAAAATTGACGAAATTTATACGTTGTGTTCATTTTCTAGTTAGATCGGTTGAAAATATCTATTGCCAAATCATATTATTGCTTGATATTTCATTGTATTGACATGCTTAGTATTATGCATTGTTATATTTGTCCATATGCATTAACATATTTGGCATTGTAGTAGACTAACATTGGATAGTGGCACTGTGCGGCAAAAAATGTACCCCATTTTTAATGGACTAAATCAGCACGAATTAGAAAAAAATGTATTTTTTTGTTTGATTTTAAGTTAAGTACTCTATATTTTTTATAGAGTAAATTCCATAAAAGAGCATCAGTTATAATTTGTTTTATATATTTAGTCCATACATATCAAATATCAATATTTTAGCCCTAATTATTATATTGTTTTCCACGAATTGTTCTTTATTAACATTTCCGTTAAAAGCATGGATAAAATTGTAAATTCACATTTCTCTCTCTCCTCAATTAAGCTTCCTCCCTTCCCTCGCACTTCTTTTCCAAACGCGTCGCTGATTTTGAAGCTTTGAACCCAAAATCAAAATCATCACTCTTCTCTCAATTGTTCGTCTTCGTGGTGGAATCCAAAATCGAAAGTAGGAACCTTCATGGATGAGTTTTAAGATTTGTTTTCTTTGCAATTTGTTAAGACTAACCCATAAAACTCATACATGAAAGTTATTGGTTTTGATTTTGGGTTCCACCAGGAAGATGAACAAATGATAGAGGATTGAATGTTTTGTTTTGGGTTTAGAGTTTCAAACTCAATGACGAGTTTGTGAATGAGTATGAAAGGACGGAGGAAGCTTAATTGAAGAGAGAGAGAGATGAGTGTGAATATATATATAATTTTATCGATGTTCTTAACGGAAATGTTAAAAGGACTATTCGTGGAAAACAATATAATAATTGATAACTAAATTATTGATATTTGATATGTAGAGACTAAATATGTAAAATGACCTATAACTGAGGACCTTTTATGGAATTTACTTTTTTTATATTATTTTTATTGCAATTGTTATTGTTGTTGTTATAATTATAGTGTTGTTATTATTACTATATTCTTAATAAGTAAAGAAAGTAAATAAACTTCAACCAATGATGATGATGATGGTGATGATAATAATAATAATAATAATAATAATAATAATAATGTACCTTGGGATTGGAGTAAGTACTTAGAAATTTTAAGGTACCCGGGTTATTTTTAAAAAATGATGAGACCAGAATTTTCTACACAATATTAGAGTACCAGTAGTAATATTTTAGGAAGAAGAAGATGAAAAGATAACATAACAAGCTGGTATGGCGGAGGGATGGACGGAATTGAAAGTTTCTCTAGAGTGAATTTTTAGATATTTCATGGATACACAAATGTTTATTTTTGAAAAACGATCAGAACAGAGAGTTTTTTCTACAAAACTATGAGTGTCTAGCAGCAATTTTTGGTATATCGAACATTAATTTTAGTGCTTTGAAACGGATTTTGAACAATAAATGTTAACTTTAACATTTTTTACGTGAATTAAAGTAGTAAAAAAATTTCTTCTCCTGCTTAATGCAAAAACAATTCTTATTTTGACTTTTGATAATTTTTTTGTAATTAGGCTTTTATATTACATATTTAGCGTAAAAAGAGATAAATAATTTAAATAACTAATTATATACGCATATTACATTGACTTTATCCGAATATATTAGTCGTTCAAAAAAATTAGAGGAAAAATATTTTCTTGAAAACAAAAAAATAAAATAAGAACCGCTCAAAAAAATAGGGAAGAATTAAAATACGAAAGAGTTAATAACAAAAATTAATAGCCCAAGAGTGGCAGCTCAACTGCTCAACCAACGCCAAAAAAAGTACACCAAAGCTTAAATTGGCACTCAATTTCCAATTTTCAAAGAAAAATCCACCAGCTTACTATTTGACGCCAGACTAATTGCTCCGTCGCCGACGGTGGCTGCGACGATTCCGCCGCTCGGCGAAGCTCCGCCGCCTCTTAAATTCATGTTTATTGTTGTTTTTTGTGCATACATATTTTGTTAGAACATAAAACAGCCTACAATCTCACCCAGTTGGTTTATGGTTATCAAAGTATTATTCACGTGTCTGAATCACTAACCAACTTAGAGAAATCAATATTCCCACGTGGTTGTTTTGAGACTTAGTCCCAAACCACATGTGGACACATCTGTCAGAGAAGAGGTGGATCAAAAGTATGCAGTCTGCAACAAGAAGATTGTTTTTTAACTTCCGCAGATTGCTTAAATAAATTGAAATTGAAAATAAATAAATTTTAAAGCAATCAATATTTTTTAAAACATTTAAATTTAAATAAGAATTCTACAACACTGAAATAACAACAATAACATTTTTTAAAATAACAAAAATAATAATTTTTCAAATAAATTATTCCGCATTTTGCATTAAGTGTTCGACAGTTTCATCTCGTGGTTATATATTCACGATCTTATGCAGTACCGTGTACTTCAACCTCTTCTTCGTCAACATCAAAGTGCCCATCCCTATTTTCTAACGACACATTTGGTTGATCGTATTTTGTAAAGAAGTCAACGCTCAAAGCCCTCTTTCCTTGTTAGATTATGTAGCGCGAAACATGCAATGATAATGTTCCTTTGTGTAACCAACGCGAATGGTGCCATCATCTTCAATATAGGGAATCGGGCTTACAAAACACCAAAAGCATGCTTTCAAAAAAATGTTTGGACGGCATGGATGAGAAGAAGCCGACAAGGATGAGGAGAAAGAGGAGGCGTCACCGACGGGGATGAGGAGAAGCCGGCGGAGGGAGACGGACGGCGAGGAGGGAGATAGACGGCGGACGGCTGGGGGAGGATGAGGAGAAGCCGGCGGTGGTGGAGAATCCAGCAGTAGAGGGTCGCGCATAGGGCCGGACGAAGAGATCAGGAAGGGAGGCGGATGGGTAGGTTTTGAGATGGATCGTATTTGATGAGAAGACATGAGAAGCTTTAGTTTATGTCTGCTTGAGGAAGATGTGTTTGGAAGACGTTTTTAATTGGATTGTCTTCTAAAAAAACAAACAGTCTGCGCGTCCCTAATGTCTGCCCGTGTTTGCACGGCGCAGACATAAGTGGTTAGAAGCTCTTCTCACCAAACACCCCTTAGCAAACCTTACAACAACAACCCAGTTGAATCCCACAACTTAGCGAACCTTAATATTTTTAATATAAAAATTAGTTGTTATTAATATACCGTACACCCGGATGTACGTAGAGTAGACCCGATCACGGGCCCAGGTATCCGGCATGGTGGCACCTTTAGTAGAGCATATACTTTCAATAAGACCCTTGGGCAATAGGATAACACCATGGTATTTATCTGGACCAGAACATAAGTCAGTGAGTTTGTAACTAAAAGGCACAATTTGAAGGAAAACAATGCATGCCTTTTTTAACCATGGCATAAGACAACAAATGGGAATCATTTACTCCAACAAATGAGATATGAGTCCCTAAAACCTTGTTTGGTTTATTAAAACATAAAACTACGAAAGCGTTTTGTTAACCATGTTCATCCCAAAGTAACATTACTTGTAAAACAGACGGTCCTTAACTTCTCCGCTGATCTGTGCAGACGGTAATGAGCTGGGAATTCACCTGTGACAAAAACACAAAAGTACAAAAATATGATTAATCAGCAGCTCTCTTCCTGAGAATTCATCCTTATGCCATTAAGGAAAATAAAGGCGCGTGCAATCTCGCTACCTTTCTAGGCAGGGTAAGGTTTGTGTACGCCAACCCGTTCACCAAACCCCACACGTGGGACTTTGCTGAGTACGTTGTTATTGTTGCATCTATAGATAAAAACCAAGCACGCATCTTATATGGTTATTTAAAAATATTAATGTAATGTAATACATGTAGCAATGTCTATGTGAAACACGGTTCTGTAAGTCATCAAAACCTCTCGTGACATGACAAATATATAGAAGCACCTTGCATATAGTATCGAAACCAACATTTGTCTCCACAAACCGGTTCTGAAGATCTCCATTTATTGTTATTGGAACTCCAACAACCTGCGAATGTAAAATGCTTCAAAATGTAATATAACTACGGCCGAATACACACCGATAGAAAGATCTGTGAAACCAAACCAGAAGTTACATTGGAAGGCAAAGACAAGAATTAAATTTCGGGCACTTAACTCCTTCACTTAGAGAAGTTCACACACACAAAAAAAAACCTCAAGACTCTGGAACCAAATACCCTCAATTCAAAATTAAACACGACCGTCATTCAATTTCTTGGTTCTTTTCCCAAAAAAGTAAAAGAAAGCAACTCATATTGTGAGACATAGAAAAGAAAACCATATATAGATATATTACATTTGAATTCCCTCATTAAATCAGACCCTGGCGCTGCAGATCAGTGAATGTCTTTTTGTTGTAAATGTTACCCTCTTGATCTTCATACTCCTCTTCAAGATCAGGTCGCCATTTGTTCAGCCCTTGGCGTTGCTGGATTCTCTCCCAAAGTTGCTTTGCCTCCTCAATGGACGTGATTTCATTGAAACTATTGGTATTTGGTATACCAAGGCATCACATCCCTGCTGATGTCTCCGTTCCTTGAAATGCCGCTCGTAAGCCCTGCGCCCCTGATAGATGTAATCCCCACAGATCTCACATTTGAATTCCTGATCGAGCCCATGAAGCTTATACAACCAGTAAGGTATGGGCTTCCCATCCCATTGGCAACTTGAGGGGATTGTTATTCTGCTGCTGAGGCTTGCGATCAGAGGACTGGTCATCATCATCAGCACCTTGTTCTTCCCATTCTGCTTGCAGCTCCTTGTATGTCAAACCCTGCTTCCTTTCAACGCGTTCCTTGGTCTGCGTAATTGTCTCGTGCAACAAGTCGCATAGCCTTTTCAGTTTGGCCTCCATTAGAGCAATCTCTTTTGCGTCCTCCTGATGATCATGGCGACGACAACTAATTGGTTGTTGCTTGTCAAGACGAGGAGGAGCAGTATGCTTGTGCTGCTTTGCAAGAAAAAGCCTCTCCGCACGCTGTTGAGGAGTTCCTCCAGTCTTTAGTCCTAGCAGAGCCAATGCTTCCTTTAACTTCTCTGGCCTTACTTTCATCGTCAATTCTTCAACTGTAGTATACTCTTCAAGACGTATAATTACTTCATTAACATTGGAGGCCCATTGCTCTTCGAATTCAGTTGCGAGTCTTGAGAGTATCGCGTCAACGTCTTGCAAAGGCTCAGTCCGCTCGATGAAGTGTATGAGGTAGGCCAATAATTTCTGCAGGTACTGCTTGTACCGCCCCTCTTTGGACAGCCTCAGATTGAGAGGTATCACCTCATGTGGTCGTGAAAAAACATCAATATAAGCAGAATAACCGATTCGCTCCCCAAACACTGAGTTAACATACTCCCGAAACAATTCGTGCAAATCAAGGTATCTTCCCGATGCTTCCTCCCGGCTGAAATCAATGTCAGGATCATAAACATCATCATCGACAGGAAAACGATCAGGCTCGGGAGGGGGGCAGGGATGATAATTCTGAAGGATTCCATTTAACCTGCTGTAGAATGCGATGAACACATCATCATCATCATCATCATCATCATCATTATTATTATTATTATTATTATTATTGCTGTTGTAATTAGTACCTCCTAGAGCTTCAATTTCATACTTCAGACTACCGTCACTGTCCTCGTAAGCTGCAACAAGTTAGTTGGTGACTTCCATGATTCGTTTAATCATGGCTCGAACACGGTGGAGTCCACCGCCGGCGGTGGCCGGCTCCATCTGGAGCTCCTTCACGATACTCCGCTCTAATTGCTCGATTTCTTCGTGGCGCCCACGCATAACTTCTAAAACCGTTGAAGAAGACATAGCAGCAGCGAACCCTAAGCCATGAATTTCTAATTTTGGCACAGATCATTAAAAGTAAGATGTGATAGTTTAGTTATTAGTAAAAAAATAATGTGATAGATAAAGTATGAAAAAGTTAGGGTAAAAGTGGTTTTTTTAATAGAAAAATGAAGTGTTTTAAAAAAACAAAAAAAATAAAAGAAAAAGATTTTAAGATACAGAGAGAGTATTATTGAATGTGCCCCTTTTACAATAGCCTTCCCTCGTGCTAATATAGAGAATGAAAACTCCAAATTCTAATAGGAATAAAATAACACAAGCAAGAAATTTAAACTAGGGGTGAGCAAGTACCGAACCGATACCGAAATTTTCCGAAAAACCCGAGAATACCGAACCGAAAAATACCAAACCGAAAAAGTACCGAGAAAGAACCGAACCGTACCGAACCGAATGGTCGGTACGGTATTTGGGAATGGTACGAGGTGACGTCGCATACCGAAAATCCCGAACCGAACATATATACTAAAACATTATAAAAAATAATTTCCCGGAGTAATATTTTTATATTCCTTCACTAAATAATATTTTAAACAAAATATTGGTTCAAGTTCTATTATGTGTAAATTATACTTTTAATTGAATCTTAGTTTTTGTGTATGGACATAAAAGTATTCACAAAGATTCGAAATACACATTTGTTTTCGTTCATTTTTTTAGTTTGTGAAACATAAAGTAAGTTTTGATACACATCTCTTGCATTTAAATATTCATTTTTTTAAATTTTTCATTTTTAATTTAAATTTACTTTTAATTTTCAAAAATAAAGGGGAATTATTAAATTTTAATGTGTAAAGTAGGTATGTATATTTATCCCGATTTGTACCGAAACCGATATCGAACCATCCCAGACCATACTGAACCAAAATTTCGGAATCGGGATTGGTATGGAGTACAAGCTAAATACCGTACAATACCGTATCATGCTCACCCCTAATCTAAACAACTTAGGTAACAAAAGTAGAATAGGAAACCAATCTGATCTGATTGAATCTGATTTGATTAATTATAATTTGATTTAAAATTCAAATCTATAATTTGATTTGACGTTATAATAAATTTTTAAAATTGTAATGATAATTCATATTATAATTTAATCAATATTTTTTTATTTTATGGTTACTTTTAAAGAAATAAAATTAGTTAATTCATACATTAGAAAAATCATTTATACTCCGTATTATAATGTAATAATATTGTTTATTTTATGATTATTTTTTATGAAATAAGAATATTGATTTACTATTTTAATAATTGGTTCATATATACATTAGAATAAATACTTAATTCATATATACATTAAAGAGTAATTAAATTTAGATAATCAATGCAGAAAGGAAATAGTATTTTTATTAAAATATTTCATTCTTATAAAATATAGAAATCATCCTGAATAGGACTAAAACATAGAAAAAAGTACCAAAATAGGACTTTCATGTTTTTTTTCCGGAATAGGACTTTGCGTTGTAGTAATGTGACTTTGCATTGTGGTAATGTGGCAGTGTACATGTGCAAATTACTATACTTTTTTGGTAATGTATATGACCATGTTTGGTAATGTAGTCTTATTTCAGGAATAAAAACATGGAAGTCCTATTTTGGTATATTTTCAATATTTTGGTCCTACTTTGGTCTGTCTTTCTAAAAAATATCAATGTTAAGCAAAGAAATACAGAATAATACATTTTTCTCTATCTTGTATAATAATATATTACTTTCTTAGTTTTCTTTTTTATTTTGTTTTAAAGTTTATTCTTTTTCATTTTTAAGAAAAAAAATATGATTCATATCATTTTATTTTTCTCTGCATAAATTATAATTATACAAAATTTTCATTTTCTTTCTTCTTATATCTTTTTTGAGAAAAATTAAATTTATTTTTTTTAAAGAAGCATATAAACCAAAACAAGTAAAAATTATAGAATTTAAAAAGTATGAAGTAATAACGATAATGATGATGATGATGATGATGATGATAATTCTTGTTTGGATTTGATCTGATTAAATGTGATTGGATTTGATCTAATCTGATTAGATCTGATCTGATTTTAATAAGAATAAAAAAGCAGAAAAAACAAATTGAACGGAACAGGGACTAAATGTGTGAACGGAGTGATTTAGTAAAAATATTCGCGGGTTAAAAAATAATAATTTTTTTAAACAAAAAAATAAAGGAAAAATTATCTCAAATAATCCAACCTTTTCGCGCTCTTTCAAAAATAATCTCACTTTTCACTCTCACCGGAAATAATCACACCTTTCTGCAAGTGTGTGAGTTTTGGGTCACCGTTAAAAAACTAATGGTCACTTAACATAATTTTCGAAAAATGCCCGTTTTTCGCAAATAAATGAACGGTGGGATTATTTCATGAAATTTCTCTCTTTTTCATAATTTTAATTTCAAATTTTAAATTTAAATGTATTTTTATTTTTATTTTTTCAAAAAATAATACCAAATTTAAATATTTTTAGAGTGAAACTAATTATTTTTCAATATTCGATAATCTGGTAATAATTAGAAAATAAAGTATTCTACACAATAGAATTAATTTATTTACTTCATAACTAACTACATTTTTTGTAAGTTGCATTTATTTTTCTTGAGTGACACTTCAAATTGTTTTTTGATACTATATTATTATTATTATTTCTTAAAAAAATGGCACTACAAAACTTATGAATATTTTTCGATAGTTCTATATAACCATTTTTCTCTGAAATGAAACTTTTATTTTTATAATTCACTACATTTTTTGATGTATTTCAATTTTTTCATGTACTGCAATCAATTTGTAAAACATTTTGAACATAAAATTTTAAGAACATATTTTAGTTATTATTACCACAAAGTTTTAAGAATAAAATTAACTTGCATATTTAATGACAACATCAATATTCTTCACATTAAAAAATAGCATAATTACTTCTCTGAAAACAATTGATCAATGAAAAAAACAACAAAAAATATAAGATCACTTTAGGAGAAAAAGAATAGTCACTGCCTTTTTGTTAATTTATAACACAACTATTGCCCATATTATTTTTTTCTAAAATGGAACTTCCCAATTTGTGATTTTTTTATAATTCAATACAAAGTTCCCCCCAAAATAGTAATTCAAAAGTTTTGAAAATGACACTATTTTTTTCTCCAAAACGGCACTAATAACTTTTATAACTCACTACATTTTTTTGTATTGCAATTTCTTTCTTAATCGATACTCTGAATTATTTTTGATAATTCAATTTGAAAATGGCACAACATTTTTTTCTCCAAAACGGCACTAATAACTTTTATAACTCACTACAATTTTTTTGTATTGCAATTTTTTTCTTAATCGATACTCTAAATTATTTTTGATAATTCAATACCGAGTATTATATTTTCCCAAAACAAAAACAAAATTTGTAAATCATTAGACCAATCTCTAACAAGAGTGTACTATTATATTTTTAAAAATATTAATTTTAAATTTAAAATTAAAAAAAAGTAAATTTGCCAAAAATAATCATCTCACCTTTCATTTATTTGCCAAAAATAGACATTTTCTAAAACTTCCGTTAAGTGGCCGTTAGGTTTTTAACGGCGGCCCAAAACTCGCACACATGCAGAAAGGTGGGATTATTTCCGGTAACAGTGAAAAGTGAGATAATTTTTGAAAGAACCCGAAAAGATGAGATTATTTGAGATAATTTTTCCAAAAATAAAAGAAGAACCGTTCAAAAAAAAAGGGAAGAATTAAAATACGAAAAAAGAGTTAATAACAAAAATTAATAGCCCAAGAGTGGCAGCTCAACTGCTCAACCAACGCCAAAAAAAGTACACCAAAGCTTAAATTGGCACTCAATTTCCAATTTTCAAAGAAAAATCCACCAGCTTACTATTTGACGCCAGACTAATTGCTCCGTCGCCGACGGTGGCTGCGACGATTCCGCCGCTCGGCGAAGCTTCGCCGCCTTCGACGCAAATGGTGGGGCCACTGAGGCCGCAGTTCGTGCTGTTCGGATCGTCGATTGTTCAGATCAGCTACAGTAACGGCGGCTGGGGTGCGATTCTCGCAGACGTTTACGCCCGTAAAGTACGAACTTCCCAAAATCTCCTTTCGATGTGTTTGGTTGATGCCTCTTAAATTCATGTTTATTGTTGTTTTTTGTGCATAAATATTTGTTAGATCATTAAACAGCCTATAATCTCACCCACTTGGTTTATGGTTATCAAAGTATTATTGAATTGATCAAGAGCTCACGAGTTCAAATCACTAACCAATTTCGAATCACTTGCAGACGTGGTTGTTTTGAGACTTAGCGAACCTTACAACAACAACAACTCAGTTGAATCCCACGACTTAGCGAACCTTAATCTTTTCTAATAAAAAAAATTAGCTGTTAGGGAGGCGAGGATGTATACTGTACACCCGGTTGTACGTAGAGATAAGTACACCCGCCGAATATTCATTTCGAATCAACAGAATATCCATTTTTAATCAACATAATGTTCAATTTCAACCATAGTGTTCATTCGGAAGCCAACTCAACAAAGAGTATATTCTGAAACATGTTCATTCTGAAGCAACGCAGTAATTATTCTGAAACAACATAGTGTTCATTCTAAAACATTTTTTTATTACAAGTTTGCTAAGATGTACCAAGAGGAAAGTACAACCGGATGTACCATAAAATTTGCCTGGGTGGCCAGGTGGGAATATGTATATTTTCCACACTTCTTTATTTTTGCTGATTTATTTCCACATTTTTTGTTAGAAAAAAAAGAAGGAAAAAAACAGTTCTTTTACAAGATTTTGGAAAAAAAGACTAAAACGACAGAGGGGAGAGTTCCAAAACTGTTGTGGCCCTACTAGCAAATGAGTTGTGCCATCATGGTCCTAAGGTCCACATGTGCAATGTGGACTTTCTAACATATTTTTTTATGGACTGATAGTTCGATCTCCCGCGTTTACAAGGCTCAATACATTTAACCATTTCATGTTTCAAGGTCCATAAA